CCTGGAAATTAACTTCTTTGACATTCAAACTACAGCTTTTAAAGTGACACTTCAGATAGACTAAGTGTAGACACAAATGCTCAAGAACTACTTCAACTCTGTAACAAATTATAAGAGGCTCGATATTGAAAAAAAACACCAACAGAGAGTCAACAAAAATTTGGATGCAGAAAATTATGTACATGTATCTTGATGAAAATGTGTCATATGATCAAAATATTACTGAATGTGTGTGCAAGCAAATTATCCGAATCAGAAAATGATGAAAAAATAAGAAGAAAATTGTCTTCACCCCGTAAGGGGACTTCGGCCAAGGAGCTTCTGCTGCTTTCGTTGCAGTATTTGTCGACTTCAATGTGGACAAAGCAACTGAACTGATTTGTCGCCTGACCGACTTTTAGGCTACCATACACCTCCACTCCTCTCCCATTTCTCTCATCATTGCAGAAGAAACGCGGGACAGCCACTCTGAACAATATGTTCTCAAAGTTGTCTGGGCGAAACTCGCTTGCCGCTACCGACCTCTTGTCTAGCTGTAAAAACGTCTCCCTGGCCAATGTCAATTGCGTACCAGTCTACAACAATCCCTCCGTTTCACCTCTAAACTTTTATGCTCACGTATTTTGGTGGTGTGGTCGCCATGTTGGACCATTTATGGCAAAATTTGCATGTTTTGAGGCAATCTCTTTCCCATAGGTCTTTGCGCTTTACGTAACGCGCATCTAACTGTGCGGAGTTTGGTTTTGAGGTTGGCTGGTTCCCGCCTCAAGTGTCATGGCGTACCAAGCAAAGGACGCTGGAAACCAGCGAAGTTTTGAGGTAGTCCAAAACGAGTTTTACGACAAGTCGGCGCTTTGCAACAATATGAGTCGGCAAGTTCCGGACAGAAAACCAATCTGTGAAGACTCGTCGTAGGAGATTTTTTTTTTTTTTTGAGAACAGGCGAAAACTAGTGCGCACGCGGATGTCATCCATAAAATTAAATCGGTGTAGCCTTAGTCTCCATGCATTTTGCTGTCTGTGGGTACAAGCTGTATCTTAGACACTCTTCAACCAATTTTCTACAAACATCACAAATACTTAATATCTTATTCATGTGTGATTTCATGACTCGCAGCCATTTTTGTTTTGAAAATACATCATAATCAGGTATTTGACATGTCTGGAACAAAATCTCTGGCATGTGTTGGCAGATTTATATCAAACTTGGTGGAAGGATTAACAATAGATTATGGGTAGTTGATGCACACCATTTTGTTTTTTAAAATCACCTTAAAATGGCCGACTGTCAGACGTGTATTTCTTGCAGTTCACTTCAAACTTTATACGTAGACAGTATATCATGGCATACATTCACCTAAATAATAAATTTTGTCAACTGATCATAGACCACCCGACTGCTGACATTTATAGTTGTTCTTAAAAAACAATAAAATCGGGTATTTTGACATGTTAGGAACCAGAATTGTGAAGTCGATTTACTTCTAACTTGGTGGCGACATTAACCAATGTAGGTAGTTGATGCACATACTGCAACATCATATGCTTTTTGCATATTCACAACACTTTGATAGATACCATGAATTCACTAACTCTATACAAGAACTAAACCATCTAATCTACAATAAGTTTACTGTCTTAGTTTTGAACCCTACCTCCCTATGTAGTTTATGTATATTTTTGAAAACTCGCATAAATAATTTGCTTATTTCCATTTACCATTTTCATTGCTTGTAAGATGCAGATCAGCTCTCTCAAACATTTCTTTTTACTTCAACTTTCTTCAACCCCATATACTTGTACATCCCTGACTGAAAATTGTATATTCAAATTCTTTTTATATCTAGAAAAAATGGACACCTCCAACCATACATGAACGAGATGACAGAGAGGATCTTAGGAAAACAGGTAACGATGACAGAGGATCATCAACAGAGGAAGAAAATGATTATGATGAAAATGATAGAACATTAGAGCCAGAAAATTCTCCCTCGGCCAAACAATCATCATCGCATGAATTAAGTGTAGACTTTAATGATGATGAAAGTTGGGGAGATTTTAGTCATGATCTTAAAGACAGTGAGGAAGAGGATGAAGAGGAGGAGGATAGTTACCATGACAATGGGAAGCAAGAAGAGAGCATTATAGCTGGATCTGAGAACTTGGTGACGTCTACTCCTCCACTTCGAAAGCTTGCATCAAGTGGTATGTATATGGAACATATAATTGCACACTGTCTGTTGAAACGTGACAAAAGTTATTTTTAGTGTTTGAAGGATTACAAAAGCTTATGAATTTTTTTTTTTTTTCCCATCTCGTAGCATTCACCAAAGAAACACTTAAAGACTCTGGTTCCACTCCGCCGACATCTGGGCTCATGACGAAATTATTCCCGCAACTGAAACCTGTGGAATCAAAGGAGAGTCAGCATATTCATCAACAGACACAAAAGTTGCAGCATGTAAATGAGAGGGTGTACAACGATGGTATACAGTCTAAAGTATTGAAAGAAAAATTAGCTGAACTTGAAACAGAAATTGAACGATTTCGAAGAGAAAATGCAAATTTATTGAAACTCAGGGATGAGAGAGACAAGGTACGTTTTGATTGGCTGATATATCTGAAAATTTTATACTGATTGGTTTGTTTCCCATCAAACCTATGCTTTGGTTCTGTCCATTAGCATTTGTTGGACTTGATGGCAGGGTTTGCGCTAATGTCTCGGCAAGATGAGTCCCACTTACAAAATTTTAAGAAATAGAAATTTTATCCTGGATAACCTTATTAGAGATTGGACCCCAGCTTGCCTGAAAAACTGGGTCCCTTTTCAATAATTGGAGTCAAGGAAGCAAAATATAAGGTTAACGCAACCCCTGCTTGATGGATTTTGTTCAAAAACTTGTTACGATGCAACTATAATGGTATACATCATACACGAATTAACATTACTTATGGTAGGTTAACTGATGTATGTCGTTTGTTCTCGCAATCCATCATTTGTCTGAAAATGAATAATTGAAACAGTATAATGAGATGGCGTTCATCGTTTCATTGACAGGCGATGAAGCAGCTACAGAAAGAGATGCGAGATTTTGATAAATTGAAAACTGAAGAGTTGCAACAGTTGGAAGAGTTTAAAGATGAAGAGATGAAGAAACTAAGAAGAGAGAAGAAAACTTTTGAAAAATATCAGAAAGCAGCAAGAGCTGTACCTGATAAAAAAGAACGTGAAGAGATAGAGACTTTAAAAAAACAGGTAATGTGTAATGTAATCTTGAATATCATAATTCAGTGGATAGTTTTAGATAATTTGAGAAGAGATAAAGAGTCCTAATTGACATATTGAATAGTAGAACACTGTGTCATAAATTGAGTGGAACCGAATGTAGATGTAATGAAATATTTCACTGATTGCGTTACAGACACATGTTTCTACTTTTGTAAAGTCTGTATTATGATATTTTAGTAGGGTATTTTGACCATGTATTACTATACTTAGCAACACACGCATTGTATTTATTAGATATCTAGTTTTTCTGTTCTCTAATATTACTGCTGAAGGTGTATGTTAAACTTAATCTTATTTCAGTTTGAGTATCTGATTTTTCAATTTTATGCATATTCACTTTTCAATGAATATTACAGCTATGCCTACCATATTTACTTTATTAGCATCACACATATTATATACTAGATTATTAAAATATGATTGAGTTTGACTACAGCTATGTACTATTAACAGAGTAAATACAGTAGGTGTGAATTTTCATTTGTCATGCTGGTTTCAATGACACAAATTCTTTCACTGGTCTCTTTTTAAAAAAGTCGGTTGGCGAGTTAAATAAATTTAGTTTCTGTTTGTTAATGTGGAATAATGTCTATTATGTAATTTGTAGCTATTAGAAGTTCAGGATGAGATGAGGCGGAAAGAAACACGATGGAATTCAAGCAGTGTACGTTTGCATACACGGATAGAAAATCTTGAAAAAGACAACCATGAATTGCGAGATGAGTTACAGATATTAGAAAGGAGGAGGTTGGATTCCTGGAAACGAGATGAGGAAGCAAAGGTAACCATAGATATTATATGTCTACAAGCGTAGTAGTAACTATTGGCCTTTATCAATTTACTGATAGTTAATGGATGGCATCGAAGACACAAACTGTAGTTAATGGCTGGTATGGGGGGGCTGAGGTTCTAGTTTACCAGAACTGATACCTTAAACAGGCCGCTAACTACCATTAGTGTTCAGTTGTGGTACTTCAACAAAGTAATTCTGTGCATTTGGCGAGTTTTAGGAGATTTTGCTTTGTGTAGTGTCACAGTATACGTGTGTCACTGTTAGACTGTTAGACTGTTAGAGATAAGCCAAAAAGTGGTATTACTAGAATTGACTATTGAATTGTCAGCCATTATGGATTTAGTGAAATTGACCATTGAACTGTCAGCCATTGTGGATTTGTTGGAATTGACCTTTGAACTGTCAGCCATTATGGATTTGTTGGAATTGACCTTGGAACTGTCAACCATAATGGATTAATTCGTTAATGCTTGATTGAAATTGAAAATCACTTGTTGAATTATTCTTAGATTTGCATGCATTTGTGTATATCTTGTCTTCCAGTCAAAAGAGAAAAAATTACACAAGCGGTCTCGCAGCCGTGAGAAAGCGCCCTCACAGGACCAAACTAAGAATCAGGAAACCCCTAACCATGACAGGCTGCATGAGCACATTGATGAACCTACCTCACCCCTACGTCACAAAATGAAATCACCCATACGACAGAAAATGGGTGACAAACCCAACAAGAACACAACAAAACAGAATGAAAGGGAATATGAAGTAGATGACTTATTACCAGAAGACACACCACGAAAACAGTTATTGATAAATAGTCTCACAAAACAAAGGTGAGTTAAGAAGTGCCTATCATATTATCAGTTTTTAAAAGCACTTGGTATATTAATTCATAATCTAAATACAGTTTAAGTAATAATAAATTCAGTTTGGGGAACAAAAATCATTGCTTGCTCATCTCTGAATCATCTATTTTTTCGGCACAACTTTTTACTGGAAGGAGCCATTTTGGAAATATTTGCCTCCAGCTAGGCTGCCATCTTTATGAAATGGTGAATTTGCTCCACCTTTGACTCCCTAGGTCACTTTTTTTCAAATCCAACGTGGTTTAAGTCAATGTCACAATCTATTTCACATTTTATTTTGACAAGTTCACCAATACAATAGAAGTGTCAACTGTTATATTCAGTAACACTTGTTTATAATTGATTGCATTATGATCACAATGATTCTGATTGGTAGATTTGTTTGAATAGATTTTATAGTCAAAACATTTTTACTACAGCCGTATTAGGGAACTTTGCTATTTTTGAATTGTTATAAACAGAGAAATCTCAATGAGAGGGTAGATTTGTAATCAGGGTGTGTTTAATAATCATATTTTAATGATAGTACAGTAATTGTTACATTAGCACAGTATGAGCCACTTTTCATATCTGAAGCACGAATGAAGACAAAGTCCAAATCATTGGTAGAATCTAACACATGTACACAAGTTATTGAGTATTTAATTTGCAAACTTTTCTGCGAGATTGCTGATGTACCTGATTCTAATTCTTTTTCTTCTTTTCTAATTTCACTGAAAGAGCATTACATCATCTACGTAAGTGGACCTCAGTTTCATTTCACCGCATGGTTATAGGATTGCTCAGTATATTTATTATGAACAGTTTCTTTTCAATATAATATACATTTGTATCTTGCTACCAGCAGAATTTCTAGTTTTATAGGTGTTCTAGTTTTCAAGCTTGCATTTCTGTAATGATGTATTTTACCGTATTGTAGCAGTAGTTTTAATGATGTGCTAGTATTTCGTCCTGTATTTTTTTTTTTCAATGTAACATTTTTATTCCTCCATCGAAATTTTGGGCATTTTAAATAAATTACTGAGTAATGTATTATTCCAGATCAAAGGTTGGTTTGTTTCGTGTAAACTGAGGCCTCAAATCTCTATAAGCTGGGGGGGGGGGGGGCAGATCTGATGTCTGAACACTTTTTGTTGTATCTGAAATTCAAAGTATCTGTATGTTAGACATGCTATCTATTAACAGAATACAAAGGTTTCTGTGATGAAGTATTTTAAGAAATGGGCATGACTGTAGAAACTTAATTATAATGTGTATTATCCTTTTCACCACCAGTTCCCTTTTTTCATCACAAATTCACAAAATAGTCAAATTTTTGAGTAAAGACTAAAAAAATTTGTGTTGGCTCCAAAATTAGAGTTCATTTATGGAAATATTGATAAATATTTGAAAAAAGTGCAGAAAAATTTGAGCCTAGTGGTTAAAAGGTTAAGTGATCAGTGAGCAAGAATCTTAATTTTGATTCATGCTTTAGAAAGAAAAAGTAAAGTGGATGTCTTGTGAATTACCATTTCATGCAATGTACCTGACTGCTAAAAAGTGCTCAGATCTAAACAATATTACTCATTTTTACTGCCTAGTCTTCTAGGATTCAAATTAACAACAGGTCAAGACACATAAGCCAAATAACTTGCTTTGACAAACGTGTTTAAGTTCAAGCCTTAGTAACATTGCACTTGGTTCAGCAACTACTTCTTGTACTGTATCACATAAAATATTTATTTTATTTCTTGCACGATTCTTGGTAGCTCTGAAGTTGATGGATTTCAAGGTTATACCTCTGAAAGTAACCCACCACGGAGGCCGGTACACAGAAAGCGAGCCATCAAGTTTGATAGCAATGATAGTAATTATGAATTAAAAGTATCGACACAAACTATTGATAATGACAGTGATATGGAGGAGATTTCACATCCTGATGGAAAGGTAGGAACAGGATATTTGATGTTATCTTTTAAATAGCAAAATATAACAAACTCAGTGCAGTTGATCATCTTAAAGGCGCCTACCCTATGACATCCTATTCATTTAACTAGTGACCAAGAAAAAGTATTACCGTAAAATCTGTATTAGAAGCCGCATCCCTAATAGAAGTCGCACCCATTCTTTTTGAACAATTGAGACCAAAATATTCATAATTTCTCATATTTGTAGATGCTCGAATACAAGCCGCATCCCCCCTGTTGCATTGTACCATTTTTACCTTGCCCGTACCATCAAAGATGGAAGGGAAAGGTATATTAAGGGAAAAATTTTGTCCGGCGTCGTCGTCGTTGTTGTTGTTGTTGTCGTCGTCGTCGTTAATAATTGTTATTGTGTGCATAATAACTTTACTAATTCTATTCCAAACTTTATCAAACTTGGGCACCTTATTCATCAGTATAAAGTCTTCCCTGAGTTTGAACAACAGATGTCCTGTATGAAAATATCATGCAAAAATTGAGAAAATCTGATAAAATATTTTGACTACTTGACTGATCACTGGTGATACACATCAAAGGTCACTGATCTCAGTGGAAATATGCATTGTTGTATGTGTTCAATGAAGCAAATGATTTATCTTGTAATAATATCCTTGGTAATGTATCTCAGAATCCCATACTG